GTGCTGGTCCATTGTTCCTTATATAGGACTTTTCTGTGTAATAGAAACTTTAACCCACAGTAATAATATTTTTTACCATCTCTCAAACTTTCACAGACATTATTGTGCCTATGTAGGCCAAAACTATTTCTAAGTTGTCCTTTGCTAGGTTTTTGTCAACCAATGTCAATGGATCTATTTTTCAGTGTCACCAGATTATTTTGATTGAAGTATGTAGTGGTTATTTTTTTGCTGATGTTATTTGGTGAGAATTTTTGTATTTGGTGATAATTGAAATACTTTTTCCAAACAGAAAAACTAAAACTCAATTAATTTGAATTGTCTTATCCAAACAATACATTGAAAATATTAAACAATTTCAAAGGAAAGTAATTCATATTTAATGTATTTGAATTTCCTGAAAATTGTAAAATTCACTATCCAAGCAAAAGGTTACTTCATGGGTGGGTCAATCAAGTCACCTAGATTCATTAAGATGATAGTGTGTGCCTCTAAATGTATATATGATGAAGACAAACATTTAAATATGCAAGTTTCCTATGCCAAGTGTAGGAAGTCCATTAACAAAATAATTGTTTGCAAAAGCTTTGCTAGCCTCATGACTTTCTATCAAATATTAGCATTCATAATACTACTTCCTATTTGTCTTCCAGCAAAAACAATGCCAAAAAAGCAGGTATCCACCAGTGAACTTATTTTGACAAAGTGGCAAATTCAAATAAATCAGCATTAAATCCAAATGATAAGTGTACGAAGTCAATGAAAGGATACTTGTTATTAACTTCTCTTAAATGGTTTGACTTCTACACAAATAGATCAACATAAAAGCCCTATCTCAGTGTCCTTTGTAAGAGCTACACACTGTCCATTATAGAAAATAGTAGGTTAAGCCCCACAGAAAGATATTGAAAAGGCTGCCTGAATATTAATACATAACCTAGGATGAGATAGGCTCAATTCTTTAACAAGGTATGCCATGAGACCCAAAACCAATTCAATGTATACAGAAAAAATAGAAACAAATGCAAATAAGGGAAAAATAGAGGAAATTGGATCAAAGAGGATAAAGCTAAAACCTGTCATTTCATCAGAGCTATCTTCATCCAAATGTAAATAGGTATTACAGGTTGTTGTACTTTCAAGATTCTTATCAACCAGAGGGTTCTTGCTTGTGGTTACTTCAGTTAATTTCGGGTGATTACCCTTTAGGTCAGTGGGTTCAGAGTCAATGATCTCATGTAACAAATTTCCATCCACCTTGTGATTATCCAGCTTTTCACTAAGCAATACTTGCACATCATTTGCATCACTTTTCTTCACAGAATTCTCACAAAACATCATCTGATCATGTTCCACAAATGATAAGCTTTGGTGAGAATTTTGATCCACAAAATTATATTTACCAGACACTCTATCAATAATGAACGAGCTCTGCACACTAGTTGAAGCAGAAGAATCAGGTTGTGGACTGCTCTCGGGAGCTCTGACTTCATGAACAGCAGCTGTTCTGAACTGAGTGTCTAAAAAGGGACTTTTAATATATGCATCAGAAGCTACATGCTTTGTAAAAGTCAAGCCACCCTTAAGGTTTTCATCCCTGCAAGCCACAGATTGATCTATGGAATCAAATAAACATAATTTTTCAGGCTTATGGAGCCCTGGTCCATCATGCATTAAAGCAGAACCTCCTTTTGTACAGTTCCTCAATACTGTACTCGCTTCTATACCTTCCATTTCATGTTGACCAAAACATTCATCTTTTGGCCTACTACCGTGTAAAGGACCATCACTGCAAGTTGAAAGGAGCAGTTTCCCATGCAATATATTAGCATGATTGCTAACTTCAAGTTCACAAATCTTTTGGTTTTCCATTTCTTCTACATCAACTTCCATTGTTTTTAAATCCAGTTGCTTTTGCCCAAAGCATACATCTGGTTCCTCAAGCCTGTCTAAAAGAAGCTTTTTAGTAGTTCCCGAGTCGTATTCACCTTGTTCAACTCGATAGGATCGCTTTCGCCTCATCAAGTCCCGCAAAGAACAGGTAACTGATCTGTGTACTTCTTTCGAATCTGAAGCATTTTTGTCCTTGTTCCTTAAAATACAAGCACTACTGCTAACCTCATTTATAGTTAGGTGATCTGAGCAAGCAGAATCTCCAATATCACTTTCAACTGGATGAGTCACAAGTAAAGTAGCTCGTTCTCCATCGTTATTAACCTGATCAATTGCAGATAAAGGCAAAGACCCCCATTTCTTATTCCTTCTATCTTTACTAACTGTGCTCGTGCCTGTACTATGCAGAACATGGTACTCAGAGGCGCTTTTGAATTCACTGTTTATATCTGCTGGAGAAGAGGTTCCAGCCAAACTACCACATTGACCTGAGAACTCATCATTAGAACCATCAACTTGGGGTAATTTCCGATTTTCAATAGGACAATTGTAACCAAAGGAAAGAAAAGGCTTTTCCTTTGGTAACTCCAACTCAAGCATATCATCAGTTGAATCTAGAATATCCTGACACTCCTTCTGGGACTCACTCTCATAGGCAATATTAGCTTCCTCCAACACTTTATCAATTGTTGCAGCAGGCAGCAAGGGAGTCAAGATTGTTTCATAAGCAAGATCATCATCAGAGTTTATATCCTCTACAGCTTGAGAAGTTGCAAGCCACTTAAGAAGATTTTTCGCTTCCTTATCAACAGCCTAAAAAGCAGGAAATACAGAAATCCAAGAGAAAATTTTTAAAGACCATATTGTTTAAAAGAAAAGCAAAGGTCGAATGGTGCTATGATAAATATAACACCCCTGTGCCTTCATTTCAGATATTGTTCCAGGACTGTTTTTAAGAAAAACAACAAATAAATTTAAAAGTCATGGAAAACGGTATTGCCTTTATGTCCACCGATCCAATCATTTCAGTTGACTGAATTTCATCCATAGTCAACATTTCAAGATTGGCATCAGTCCCTTCTGTTTGCAATTTGGCATTTTTGCATAATGTAGCAGGTGGTGATGCTGACCCTATTATGTCTGTTTCACTGAAACAATTTAAGGGTTTTAATGCTTCACAACATGAAATAAAGTTTTCATCATGTAATAATAAATCACTTAATACAAACCTCAATTCCTTCCCAGAAGGAGTACAAAATAAGGTTCCAACTTCACTGCATAACTCAATAAATTTTTTCTCAAAGTCCAGACCAACAGAGAAAAGTTTCATAACATCTTCTGGAAGTGGTTTGCCAGGACCAGAAGGCATAGCAGCCTCATGAATCCCGGTCCGTTTCTGTTGTTCCTGAAACAATTAAGCTAATTAATTTAGATAAAACCCAAACAAATAACATGCAGAACAGAGATACAGGAAGATCAATCATGATAAGCTACCTCCCATATTGGTACAAGTGACTGAACCATGTTGGTATCTGAGCATGTTTGTGAGAGAGATGAATACATTTTAAACTGCTGATTAAGAATCTCTGCCACAACAGATATGTCTTCGTAAGGAAAACAACAGTATCAGAAGATACCATTACATATTTAAGCATAAACGTGTGCATGCACATTTGTGTTTGTGTCAGTATGGCCATGAAACTAGACAAACCATTCACAGAAGTATCTCCTTCAAGCTCACAGATGCTTTGGCGTTTAGGACAGTGAGCCTTATCATTTAAAGAAGCACTGGATTTGCTTGTGGGTAACCATATCCACTCAGATGGAATTGTGGAAGACATCCAATATTTTGACTCTAGACATGCATGAGAAAGTAGATCTGCCTAATCAAAATATTACAGTATCAAATATAAATAAGGGATACATACATATATCATTGAAAATATAACAATTTGTTAGTTACACAATACAGGAAAAATAAAGGGACTTGAAAATGAAAAATGTGAAAGGCAACACACCTTTGTATGCTGGCCATCAATATTTAATTTCTTGAAAGTGTCAGGTATCGGATGGCGGAACTTCATCTTTGATAGGTGCAATTGACCCATGCCATACAAGTTGTAATCAACCTAACACAACAAAACAAAGTGTATATATCTACAACATAAGAAAAACTAGGCAAAAATGTGTTACAATATTTTTCATTTGGGCTGCAATCACGTAATTGAACATTCATGGAGCAATACAATCAGTCTATCAGTTCACATAAGTAGCCCTAGGAAATGTCAATAAACCAATTTAACATGCTTGAATGATGAGAGGGAACAAAGAAATATATTATTTATAACAATCATGCTAATTAGATTATCAACTCCTTTATTTGTAACAATCACATTCTCTTAAAGGAAATAAAATTTGATGGAATGAATGCGAAAATTCTAAGGATTATTTTTTCCTAATTGCAGTGGAGATATTAGAATATTTTTATCCTAATAATCCACTATACAAATGTCAAATGTCACTCCACACAAACCATTGACCAATTAGTTATCAAAACGTAAAAAGTGGAATGAGTAAATCATAAGATAATAGATGAATCAAAATTAACAAATAACATAAGTTCCAAGCACATGACAGCAGCTGGATGTTCCAAACCCAACCAAGTAAACCCAAACCATATAAGAAATGGGAAAACATAGCATTATACTGATCAGTTCCAGCCAATGAATGCAGCCAGGCAGAAAAAAAATTGGTGTTTGTGAGGCGCTATGCAAGGACAGTGACTAATTTAATCATAATGTCATTTTTAGCTTCAGTTAAACATTCAGATACAATAAATCATACGAATGTACATACCAGAAACTGAAGAATAAAGGGAATATGTGATTCATATGGCTGTAAACTTTTATCAAGAACAGCTCCAGCCTGAAAAAGAAAATGTCAAGACTAAAGCTTACTCTGTATAACATCAAATTAAGTTGCAATAAATTCAACAAATAGTTTCCACTTGAGAACAAAAAATTGCACATTTTGAACAAAGAAATAACCGAGGTACAAGCATCAAACTTATAAGAAATATCCAGAAATTGTACCAAGAGAAGACTAGCTGCACGAGAAACATCTTGAGGATAATATCTTAAGCACCAGTCAAGGCTTACTTTTTTTTGGGTAAGAATGTTTCCATGATTTAATCATGCATCATCTGAGCTTGTAGATAAGAGTGGTATATATGCACATGGAAACATATCACATAAAAAATATGTACAAAATATCAGGATAGTGGATACAAGTATATCTTTACAAATAACTCCTCAAGTGAATGATAGCCATAGAATTTCCTTGCTTGTACAATACTGCATCCATGTACATGCTGTCTTGTAGAACCAGCACTGCCTTTAAGCTGAAGAAGTTGCAACCAAATGTGGCACCACATTTTTATATTTAATATTAATATAAGAAACCGTATATATTAAGCATAAACACAAAAAGATTGAAATAGAGGGTACTAAACACTTTCTATGCAATGATACCTTTAAGGCTTTCTCAAGAGAAGCAGCTACCTTATAGGTGAATGCATCACCTGTGCAACAACCAAATAAATTAAATCCGCATATCAAGTAAGTAAATGAAAATGTGAGATTTGTTTAAAGCATGGATACTGAAAGAAAGTTAGATAAATCAAAAGCGTCATCCAGATTATTAAAACTGGCCTACAAGTAAAAAAGAGAAAAGAAAAATAAATAAAATTTGCATACAGCATATAAAATAGTTAAAACATAAAAAATAAGTAACTTATAAATAAAAATCGTCAAAAGAATGAAATGAAACTAATTCAAATATAAATACGACGATACAAACACACGGTTGATGTAGAGAAATAAAGATACTGGTAAATGTGACTTGCTATTACCTTGGTCCAGTTGAAGTGGTATATCCGAACACGGCACATACAAATAGGGTAAAGCCTACAATGAATAATTAGATTACACAATTTAAGCGTAACAACAGTCCCATATGAAAGAAACAGTCACAACTTCGCTTATTACAAAATAGTAAAACTATTTGTCTTGCATTTATGATAGAAAAAACGCTATCACTTGACATTAAACTCAATGAGAAAAAGAGGGAAGTAAATATGAACCATAACGAGTAATGCATAGTTTCTAAACCGAATATGGTTTACAACACAAAGAAATTTCACATGTGATCTTACTCGATGCACGTGCAAGCAAGTTTTCTGGCCAGCAGGAGTAGAACCATACACTCTTATCACAGGCACCTCGTTCACCTCTCCACCTAAGTGAAAAATATGAAACAATGAAACGCAAACTAGTGCTCAGTGAGATGAACACTAAAACTTTGAAACGCGAAATGAACCCTTAGCTGTTGCCGTTCGTTCTTGGACAGATTTCAATCTTTCTTGGAAAGTGAAAAAGAACATAGGGCTGGATTCGTACCGTGGAAGCTACTATAACAGATATCGGCGTCGGGGATTGGCGGCGCCATGTAATAGTCGATGGAGACAATCCGAATGGTGAAGATCTCAGAATTGGACTGTGAATCTGACATGATTTACGCTCACTTATGTTCCTTCTTGGAAGAGTAGCCAAGAGAGAAAGAGGATGAGAAAGCCTTCGTTTCGTCTATTTATTTTGGCGCTAGGTAGTTAGGAGAAGTCTTTTTAACTTAAAACTTCTCCCTCACGCTTAGTTCTATTTTTCTCTTTTCCGCGCGCGGGGTTGTAAGGGCCGAAATCGATGAGGCCCGCCCAAATTTGGCCCAATTTTTATCAACCATAGTTTCGCTTTAAATAGTAGTTTCTTTCTGTATCTCCGTTTTTGTTTCCTGCATCCCCATTAAATTCATAAACCCCATTTTACCCCTGTTTAAAAAATGATCATTCCATTCTTTACAATTGTAAGTATTAGAACACCATTCAATAAATCTTTTCTAATAAGATTTTCAAAATTTCTAGAACACAATTTCTAGAATAGCCTTTCTGAAACATGATTTTGATAACAAAACTTTCAAAATAAGATTTTTGGAAGAAAAATAATATTTGACTCCCTTCAAATAAAATATTCCCACTTTACAATTTTCTATAATGTTATAATAATAATAATATATGTTCAAATTTTAAATTAAAAATAAAATAAATATGATTAAAATTTTATTATTTTGACTTAATATAATAATTTTTGTTATAATATTAAATATATTTTTTATAATATTAAAATAAAAAATTATTAAATAGTATAAACAACTTAAATATTAATATAAACTTTTAAATTAAAAATTTTTAACTTAGTTAAAAATATATATTTATTCATTTTTAAAATTTAACAACTAAAATATATCAAACTTTCAGAAAAAAATAATCAATTTCGCTTAAAAGTTTAAATACTTAAAAACAAATTTAACTTCAATATTAATAACCATGGGTAACATGGGATGGTGAACAAAAACTTCAAATTTTTAATGTTAGTTCTCACTTGTTAAATCATGTTATTTTTTATTGTGTCCTCAATTTTATTTTTTTTCATTGCAATTTATTATATTTATAATTTAATTCATTTTAATTCTAATTTTAAATGTTCCCGTTTCAGAGATACTGAATTTTAAAACTATACAATCTTGATCAATTATAATTTAAATTTAAACTTTTCTCTATTGATAATCTTATTCAAATCATATGCAATTCCACAGAAGAAATTATTCTTACATCACACATACAAACAGTAAATGAAACCGTCTGCAAAAAGAACAACAATGAAAATTCAGAAAGCTGAAAGTATCATTGGGAAGAATGGTAGAAAAATATGCATGGTACTATATGCAAGCCCTTTTAAATTGCGACACTGTTGGGAATTCCCATGCCAGTGAGTCCAGTTTTGCTGCTGGGATAAAGCAAAGTGTAAGGCATGTTAACTGGTCCAACTCTGTTTCTGTGTTTCCCATCACTGTTCATTTTCACAATCCTTACTCCGATTTGCGCCAGCTTTTCTCCAAACCTCTCAAAGGCTTTCAATGGTTCCACATCAGAAGTCCAGTGAGGAGTGTCTCTCTGTCCAAGGTACACCTCATCAGAAGAGTGCCTAGACAATATTTCTATGAGTGAAATGCCTATAAGGGTCTGCAACTGTGCTGTGATTGTTTTCAGAAAAGCCTTCTCAGGGTTGTCCACAAGTTCATCATATTCAGGAGTTCCTTCCTCAGGCATGAATCTTCGGCTTATTGTTGGACGGTTTGGAAGGAAACCTGCATAAGGGTATTGGCCAAAGTTGGTGGATGCATGCTGGGCTGAAGCAACCCATATGATGATAGTGCACACTTCTACGAGGTCTTCACGAGTCTGCATCTTTGGCCACCAAGGCTCATTTTTCTTGTCACCGTGACCCTCCTCTCTTAACTCCTTCCACCAAGATTGTAGTTCTCGATCTTCCTTAACCGTGTCATCATCCTGGTAGTAAAAGGAGCAATATTCCTGAACCCAGTTCTTTATTGCAAACCAAATCTCTAGCCCGTCAACAGCGTACGGATAATCCTCAATCACAAGTCGAAGGCCGTGTTGAGAGCTGGAATCTTTAACCGCCATTCCTCTGATAGAAGCAGCTACGTATCAGCTCATTAATATCAAATTGGATGTGTGTGTGTGTATAAGTTAATGTTATACGTTAGTTAATTGTCATGATTTGGATCACTAAGTAGTGAGCATGATCCTTATGTTATCATGCTTTCAAACATATATATGTTTAAAACAAACGATTAGTCTAGTAATGATGTTGTGCATGTGTGGTAGTACCTCTTGATGAGATCTGTGGGTAATGCTTGGTCAGGGAAATTCCAGTTCTTATAGATCACAGATGACATCTCCATGGAATACTTTGATGGAAAAACTGTGGCCTCTAAAAAGCCACCGGCGTTGATGAGGATTTGTCTTGCTAGTGCATTTATGTTCATGGTGTCACGAAAGTGTGGATGCAGGAGTATATGAATAGGGTGAAGCACGCTAAGACATCTATTTGCAGCTATGATGAATGGTTCAATCACTGCATGAGTATGCAACCTGTGACGAAAAGATACAAAAAGTTGTTTTCAATGAAAGATTAATTAAGATGGTTTTTGCTGTTTCTTCATAATTGAAGAAGTTATAGTATTATACCAGTGGGTTATAAGCTGATGATAGCCTGAGTCGTTTACTGCTACATAAGCTTTAGCTAACTGCCAGATGGAATTTTCAACACCCTCATCTGCAGGAGTGTAAACCTTACTTATGACACCATATTGGTCTCCTTCAGAATGTGGCAAACTCAACTCAATAGCCAATGGCTTCAAAGTTCCATCGTTTTGCAAGAAAAGAATTGTTCTGCTGGCGTAAGTCTTTGTAGAAGTGGAGTTTATCCTCCTCAAGTATGGTATCAGTGCATCATGGTGATCTAATATGAACAGCTTCTTATGTCTGATAGCCTATTGAACCAGATATGAAAAAGTCACAGCAACAAAATCATACCATCAAAATAAACAGTGAATTAACTTTGGCAACAAAAGTTCTAGCTAACTTCAAAATTACCTCATCTACTGTGAGCCCATCCATTTTGCTCTCAATGTGTTCTTTCCTTATTGTACTGGTTTGGTTGCCATAGACTTTACCATCCAGCTTACTTGCTGGTGGGAATTCCTGCAATTTATTTTGGATAATCGTGTGGAAAACGATTATTATCAATTAAGTTTACGAAAAGATACTTGATAATTTCGACAAACATGAACACATTAAGGCTAAAATCACTTGCTCGTACTTGGAGGCAGCGAATAATAACAGGGTTTACACCAGCCAACATCTCTCTAGCAAATTCTTCATCGCTTCTCCATGCAGACTTATCTTCTGCTCAAAAACATTATAAGAATGTCATTATCGGAGTCATTTACAAAAAAAAAAACAGTGAGATTTTCAGGTTTCTTTGCAAACCCATTATTGTGAAAGTAAGTAAAAAAAATACCTTTAATCACTTGAGGCACGGGAAACTTGAGGAACCTTTCTCCATCAGTTCGGAGAATTTCTTTGAGCAGCTCTGCAGGGATTTTATCTCTAACATTATTAAGTATACCTTCAGGCACCTTGATCCCACCTTCGTAGAGTTTAAACACATCTTCAAAGCTATCAAACTCATCAGGTGTACTGTCAAATAGAGATTCCAGCTCAGGTTTGATAACTTGAACTATGGACTTAAGTGCACTAGCAAGAAAGTCTGACAATTTCAAGTGTCCAAATCTTTCATCCCTTGGAACATAGATGTCCAAGCTCATGGTCAAATTCAATCTACTCTCACTTCTGGCATCTGCTAAAATAACAACACCATATCAGAAATTTAAAACTAAAAGACCAAAATTCACTTTCTAAAACGTTTTCAGACTTAAATGAATACCAAAGAAACACATGAAAAACTTAACCTGATTTTGTAGGTGGTCTACCAGTTCTTCCTCTTCGAGGGTATGGATATTCAGTGGAACCTCCCAGAACTGGACGAGCATATTCTGCACCCTTATCTGGATCACTCAAATCATTGTAGTATGCATAGTCATACACCCTATCCCACTCTTGTAGGGTCCCTCTTCCATCCCCTCTCAAACTCTCTAGTTCTTCTTCTCTATACTTAAGAAGTGGCTCTGGCGTTTCACTTGGAAGGTATGCCTGCATGCAACACATTACTAGTAATTCACAATAACTAAGAGAAAATAAGACTTATTATGTGTAGAGATTAGCTATATAGTAATCCTTGCATGGCATTGACAGTTACATTTGTACTTTGCTGCTTTACCTTGTTGCTGAAGAAAATGCGATCCTTTTTATACTTGTGTGCAGGGTATACCCAAGAGTTGCAGTTAAAGTGGATGACACCATGGCCAGGAACATTTTCAAGTGTCATGCTTTTCAGGTAGAACTCAGTGTGGTGATGATTTCTTATTAAAAAAGCTCCTGGGGTTCCTATAGAATCATCATCCCAATCAAATGTGACCCTGAATTCTGATTCACCGGCGGTCAAGGGTGTGATTGTGGTGATCCAATCTTCCAAGTATGCAGGCTTTCCCAGTTTACCTTTCATCTCGTTACCTTCAACTTGATTACCATAATAACGTTCAGGTTACATGTTAGGTAAGGAAAACCTCATACGAAGAATGAATAATTAAAAATGTAGATAATTTTCAATTAAATATGATACAATTGACAAAGAAAATTAGTCTTATATGATTTTTTGTACAGTTTAAACTTAGAATAACTTTTATACATAAGTAATACCCTTTCATTGAAAAATTATTCTTAGCCACCACTAACAAAAATAGTCACCTAATTTATGTCAAGAAACCCCGTTAAAAAATGTGTGGTGACTAATGGCAAAAATATTCTTGTAAGTGAGTATTTGCAATAAAATTCGGGATAAATATTTCATACTTACGATAAAATATTAGTGTGGATAGCATGTATTGTAATATTTACTTATAAATGGTTCAGTGTTGTATCTTATTAAATATCCATTATTCACAAAAAAAATTAATTTATATTTTATTAGATTAAATTTAATTAAAATTAAATTTTAATTTATATTTACTTTAATTTATATTATATTATATCTTTTTTTATTATATTTAA